AGTAAATAAAGTAAGGCACGTGCAAGGAAAATAGAAGGTAAATGCAAAGACTTTAAATAAGAAACCTGCTCCAAATCAGAGGCTTTAAATCTGGTACTAATGGAAAGTAAACTTTGACTTAAAAAGAAAATGGCGGCAATATTAATGTAAAAGTGCTCCAAACTATCCGCAACTACGATGCGATAATCCCCCGATGTGAGGAATTATCGCTTTTACAAATGGTGAGTTTAGGCTTAGTGTTGTAAACTAAGTTGGATAACTAAAAAAGAAACTAAAACCACCTATTTATAGAAAATCAGAAACTCTTGAATTGATAAAACTGCCCTCCAACTTCCTTTTGGGCGGGACAAACATAACAAAGATGGCGCCCGCCATCCCTGCGTGGTGCCCACCATATGAACATAGGCATAAGAATGTGGGATCTTGGTAGTTGACTACCAGTTGACAACCTCTATGTCATGGCGCCTTCTATGACGACTATATAACATAAGAAAATACACTAATACTCTAATAAACATGTGCAATCTGAGTCAAATATGCAGTGTGTTTCAGTGTTATCAATACCCTGAAGGAGTCAAAGCTTATAGGCTATGGTGCCTAGAGCCAGGTCACAGGAGGTGTATCACCATTCGAGATGTTGTTTTCAATGAAGCTGAAATTGCTTTCAAGAAAAATGATGATGTTGGTTGAAGTGCATAAATATCTGATGAAGAGCTGGAACATGTAGAGATTCTTGTTGAGGTGGAGCATGTTGATGCTGAATTGCATATCCCAATTGAAGTCGAAGAAGAAGCAGAAGATGTTGAGGAATTTGAGAAGTCTGTCGATGACTACCTATTATAAAGAGATAGAACGAGAAGAGTCATCAAGCCACCTCATAGACTTGGGTATGCAGATCTTAGAGATTATGCCTTAATCTTCTCAAGTGAGGTTCTGGATGAAGAACCTAGAGACCATAAGGAAGTTATGAGGAGTCAAAATAATACTGAATGTATGAATGCCATGGATGATGAGATGAAATATCTTCGTGATAATAATACTTGGGAACTGATCAAGAAACCTACTGAAGCAAGGTTAGTAAGTTGTAAATGGATTTTCAAAGTTAAGGAGGAATCTAAGGAGTGTCGTCGAAAAGATACAAGGCAAGGTTGGTCGCAATGGGTTTCACTCAGAAAGAAGGTGTTGACTTCAACAATGTGTTTTTCTCCTGTTGTGAAGCACAGGTCCATTAGAATGTTTCTTGCCACGGTGGCACAGTTTAACCTCGAACTTCAACAAATGGATGTGAAGAATGTGTTCTTGTATGGTGATCTAGATGAAATAATTATGATGAAGCATCCTGAAGGGTATGTCGAAAAAGGAAAGGAAGATTATATGTGCAAGCTGAAGAGATCTTTATATGGACTGAAACAATCTCCTCGACACTGGAATAGAAAATTCGACAGGTTCATAGCACGCATAAGATTGATCTGAAGTCAGTTTAACCACTGTGTTTACTTCAGATTTTGACCTGGTAATTCATTTTTTATTTTGTTGCTTTATAAGGATGATATTCTCATAGCCAACAAAAGTGTTGAAGATGTAATGAGGGTGAAAGTTGAACTCAATAAGGAGTTCGAAACGAAGGATCTAGGAGTTGCATCCAGGATTCTTGGGATTGACATTTGAAGAGATAGAACACAGTCGAAATTATGCTTATCTCAAGAGACAAACCTACGGAATATTGTCGACAAGTTTGGTATGTCGAATTCCAATCCTGTTGTAACTCCAACAAATCCTCAATTAAATTTGAGTATAGATGAGTGTCCTAGTACTGATGTCGAAAGAGATTATATAAATAGCATCCCATATGCTAATATAGTGGGTTCTTTGATGTATGTTATGGTATGTACTAGACTCGATATATCATATGCAGTAAGTCTTGTAAGCAGGTACATGGTGAATCCTGGAAAGGCTCACTGGCAAGCATTAAAGTGGATTCTAAGGTACATAATCTGAACAGAGTCCTAATTTATGGTGGAGTCTTGGGTGAAGATAGTAAAGCAGTAATCGAAGGATACATCGACTTTGATTATGAAGTTGTATGGATTCTAGAAAATTAATTTATGGATATGTTTTCATTATGTTTGGCATATCAATTAGTTAGAAAGTAACACTTTATAAGGTTGTTGCCTTATCAACCACTGAAGCAGAATATATTTCCCTCACTGAAGTCGTGAAAGAAACATTGTGGCTTGAAGGTTTTTCTAAGGAGCTGAAAATTCAAAGTCAAGCTATCACTGTTAAATATGATAGTTAAAGTGCAATACACCTATCAAAGAACTCAACTTATCATGAGCAAACTAAGCACATTGATGTGAGACTGCATTTCGTCAGAGGGGTAATCGAGCGTGGAGAAGTCCAAGTGCTAAAGGTTTCGACAAATCAAAATGCTGATGATATGATCACCAAGACATTGCCAAGTTGTAAGTTCTTCCACTGTATGCAGTTGATAAAGCTCCATGAAGAAAGCTATTTTGTTCTTTTATATTAAATTTTGTTCCAAGATGGAGATTTGTGAGATATTGGATCGAACTCTATTGAGTCGAAGGGTAGCTTCTAGTTTGACGGGGAGTTAGAATGAGGTTGAAGCTTGTTCGCATGCTGGTGTCGAAGACTTACATACTGTAGTCGAAGTGTGCTCTAGTATGTGGGTGTTGAAATGCTAGGGCTGTTAGTATTTCGAATTGGGTCTATTTGTTATGTCCAATTATTTAAGTTAGCTTGTAATGGATTTTTGTGAAAAAGCCCATTAGTTTAGTATGTTAGGTTTATTATAAATAGCATACTATTCTCTCATCATTGCACACTGCAAATCCTAATTTAGAGTGAGAGGGTTATTTGTTATTCTTGTAACACTTGCAATCTTGATTAAAGAGAAAGTAAAGAATAGCAGTTAATAACCAATTCCTTGTTGTTCTTCTTGTTTTTTATCATCTTTTCTTCCCTTGATTGTCTCTTGATCATAAAGAAACAAATTTATACTTTGTTTCTAAGGCATTCGATTCACAATAAATACAAGTTTATCTTACCTCCACATCTCACATGTGCCTAGAAGCATGATCTGCCTACAACAAAGTAATAAGGTGTTTGAAGGGACTCCTGAAAAAACACTAGGAACAAAAATAACATTTTGGACTTCTGGAATAGCAGCAGGGGACACATGTCTCCGGGAGGACAATGTCGGAGATACGAGAACTCCAGAAAACAACGCTCTTGCATCAAATGAATTGGCATCAATGTTTGGACGATATGATCTAGCTTTTTCCCTCCGAATAGAAACATGTTCAACTACTCTACCATGTTAAAATATTTCTTGGTTGTCAAATATTTTACCTTTAATTAAATCAATAAAATTATATCATAATCAAATAATTCAAACCTAGCGGACAAAATAGACAAAATCAAACAAATGAAGCATATCGGGTAAATTCAAAAGTTAATTTTCTTACCAGGTAAAACCAGAAAAACGCATAACACAAACACACAAAACCCTTATGCTCTAAACTTTTAAAAAACCCATTATGAATGCATCAAAAATCGATCCATTATACTTTTAACTATAACCTAATGAACGATAAATAACCCATTTAGGTAATGCATTTATCACAAACCAAAAAGGAAGAAAATGAAAAAACTTACCAAATTGTGAGAAAGCTTGAAAAATGAGAAATCTCAATTGAATGAAGTGGAGTAGATGTTGAATGATGTCCTATACTTAAATGCAATGTCGTAGAAGTAGTGAGAAAGCATGAAAAATGATGAAAATGGAGTTTGCTCACGAGCTTTGTTATGGGTTCTGAGTAAACTTTCTAAAATGAAGAAGGAAGAGAGAATATCTGGCGCGTTATATAAATCAAACAAGTTCTGAATGTAACCTCCATATAAAATACATACATTAACCTTCGTAAAAAATATGGACATTAACCTCCAAATTTTTTCAACTCTATTCTTGCCTGAGTTTTTGAGACTTGACCGTGGTTGCATTTTTGGTGCGTCTGAAGGTTAATTTCTAGATTTTATGGACATTATTAACTTTTCACTAGGATGCATTAAAGTTTAGACAATCAAATGGGATACATATCATCATATTTTTAAAAGTCATTTTTACAATAAAAAACATAATCCTCTTATCCATTTTGTAATCCATTTTTATCGATTTTCTATTAGTTTTAGTTGGCACACCAGTTTTTTTGTTTGAATAATTTTTAGAATTATTTAGATTAGATTCAGGTTCGATTCACAATCTAATCAGTGGAATCAGTGAGTTCGATTCAATTATGATAACCTTAAATATAATACTATGTATATTTTATATTAATAAGTAAATTGACCATAAAAATAAATGTTGTTTATAAATGAGAATCCATAGATTTAATATCAAGATTTTGGTTAAGATGTAATATCTAACTTATTTAATATGATATTTTAAAGTTTGATTTATATAACGCGCCAATAAGAAATGAAGAAGGAGGAGAGAATGTCCACCAATAAATACATTAAACATTATTATTTTTTATATTCCAAAAAAATAATAATATTAATAAGAGATTTATTTCTTTAAAAAATAATAAACATTAAAAATTTAACTTATATTAAAAAACAAAATAATGTTTCAAAAGGATATTAGGGAGCATTTTAGATATAAATCATCCAATCTTGAGATAGACAAATCCATATCTCAATTTTATGTTTCAAACCCATTTTGCAAAGATAATATGAATCATCTGATTAATATCATATGGTTGAGGTTGCTTGAATGTGTGGTTAATCTCACCATACAAAATCTAGATTCGATCCTTAGCTGTTGTGTTTTTCACACTACATTTTGTCCTCTAGTTAAAAATGAAAAAGAACAAACCTATCATATTCATAGACCATATGAAAACATTATATAAACAAGATTATATTATATACTATAGTACATAATTTCCCCTGCATTGTACTCTATACTCACCAAAATGAAGAAACAGTGTTGCAAAGAATCTGAAACAAATCAAAACCAACAACTATCATTAGACTATTGTTGCTGGTTTGAAGATGCATGCATCCTTGACATGGATTACTTTGTTAAAACTCTTTCAAACATCAAACAAAAAGGCATTCGCGCCGATTTAATCGGTTCAATCATCACTCACTATGCTTCCAAATGGCTACCTGATCTCGAAGCTTCAAATGCAAGTGCAAATGCAAATGCAAATGCTAGTTCTAATGCTAATTCGCCCGAAAGTGCGACAAAATCATGGATGAAGAAAAGATTCTTTGTTGAAACCTTAATCAGTGTTCTTCCACCTGACAAAGATTCAATCCCATGCAACTTCCTTCTCCGTTTACTCCGAACAGCAAACATGGTTTCTGTCGAGGCTACTTATCGAGCCGAGCTTGAGAATCGAATTTCATGGCAGTTAGATCAAGCTTCATTGAAAGAACTCATGATACCTTCTTTTAGTCATACATGTGGAACTCTTTTGGATGTTGAGCTTGTTATTAGGTTGGTTAAGAGGTTTTTGAATTTGGATCAAGATGGTTCCAAAACCGGTGCTGCTTTGGTTAAGGTTGCTAAGTTGGTTGATTGTTACCTTGCTGAGGTTGGTTTGGATTCTAATTTGAGTTTGTCTCAATTTGTTTCACTTGCTGCTGCTCTTCCTAGTCATGCAAGAGCTACTGATGATGGTTTGTATAGAGCCATTGATACTTATCTTAAAGTATGTTTTCTTTTTCATCTTCTTCATTACTTTCATGTTAATTTCCTTGATTAGTAAAGTTAATTACTACGAAAGAAACAAGTGTCAAGACGAGGATTCATTCTAAATATCCTAGAAAGTGCTTTTGTGGGGTCACCAGCACACGAGACTCTCTGATATTATATGTGTATGTAGGATTCAAATTCTCCGTAGTCGAGAAGTCGCTAAATTAAAGATCAAACATTTCTTATTCTAATAAATCAAGATTCACATGCAATTGTTTCATAGCAAAAGTCCAAAACTAGATAAGACATGAATCATAAAGCTAGTTGTAAATTGTTACCAACATTTGGCTTTTCTCTTGTCCATATCTTAGCTTGGCCTTTCCTTCTAAATTCAAGTAATATTCCATTTATTAGTAGGCCATTGATGTTCATTTGATCCAGATCGGATGGTGTATTACAGATTTAAATCTATAATACCGAGTTTAAAATCTAGACCGTCTCCATCTGGTATTCAAATCCATTTAGTCGGGCCGTATTTCATCTGATGTGAGACTGTTAACTTATTTATTTTTGTTACAGGCGCATCCAAGCATATCGAAGCAAGAAAGGAAGGGACTGTGTAGATTGATTGATAGCAGGAAACTCACACCAGAAGCTTCACTTCATGCAGCTCAAAACGAACGGTTACCTGTGAGAGCTGTTATTCAGGTACTTTTCACCGAACAAACGAAACTCAACCGCCACATTGATTGGAGTGCTTCTTTCAGTAGCTTGAGGAGTCCGAGTGGATACCACGGTGTGTTGGACACACCAGAACGGAGTCTTTCAAAGCGCGAAATGAATGCGCAGCAAATGGAGATAAAGAAACTGAAGGAAGATGTTTACAGGCTGCAAAGTCAGTGCAATGCTATGCAAGCACAGATGGAAAAAATGGCTGAGAAGAAGAAAGGTTTCTTCAAATGGAAGAAACTTGGTTTTAGTAAAAGCAACGGAGAGACGGGGAATGTTGAAATTAATGAAACTCAAACTGAATTTGGATTCGGAACGCAAACACCTATGGTCATGAAAAATAGTATTGTCGTCAAAGGTAGGACTCCTCAAAACTGGAGAAAATCACTGTCATGAAAGAGAGGCTTTCATGTGAATAATAGATTAAATAAATAAACTGTTATATTATAAGTCCGTTTATTGGAGTTAGGACTTTGGAAATAATGTAAGATCGAGACGATTCTGTTCTGCACTGAAACTACCAAGATCATTTTTCGGCTTGTAATTCTTATAAAAGGAATGATTGAATAAGAAAAGTATGTTCTTAACAATAGATGATCAAATTTCTAGCCGAAAAAATGTGTTCCTAACAAGAAACTAGACGAAACAGAAACCTAGTTATTGCAGCCAAAACAACAAGCTGTTATCACTTACTTATTCGATAACTAAAAAATCTTATACACACAAATCAAACAATAGAATCAAACCTATATAGTATTTTGCACACTCAAATTGTAATTAATAAACGGTCAAGAAGCATAAAAAGCACAAGTCCGCGCTCAAACATTCATAGTTTCACTGCTTTCTTGATACTCTTGATTGATGACTTCATCCCTTGAAACAAAGACGGAGATGATGGGATTCGTCTCAAGACCTTTGCGCTCTCTGATCGAACAAGTCTTTTTTCTAGTTTTTGTTGCTCTTCTTTCCAATTTTTTCCAATTTTTGCTTTATCAAAACTATCATTTGCTTTCTCTATTTCATCGGCTTCTTTCTTCTTATCTTGAAGGACTTGCAGCTCCTTCTTTACAGTTCTCAACTCCTTTTGTGGAAACTTCAGGTTCAGTTGTTCGATTATATCTTCATTCTTACCAAAGGCACTTTCATTTGTTTCTTCTTCTTGACCATTCTCTAAAAGCAATTGAAGCCATTTTTCAACATTCCCTTTACCTCGTTGGTTCCTCGTTTCATCATTTTCCTCGTCTTTTTTCTCATGAAAACCACGGAAAGAAACACCTGGAGCTCTCTTTTCTTCACTGATTTCTAGCTTCTGAAGTCTCTGCGCAATTAACTTTTCCTCATCCAAAGCCACAAATGATTTAGCATGCTCTTCTAGCTTCTCTTCCGACTTATCATTATTAGCTTCGATTTTCAGCTCCTCTTCGTTCGCAGATAGGCCAGCTTCGGACGCTCTTTGTTCTTCCTCCAACAAAACTCTGAGCTCTTTGTGAAAAGGGGTTCGTGGCCTAACTCCTGCCAAATAAAAAACAGTTTTGTTATTCTCCCTCTCTTCTTCGAAAGCAGAATCGTCCATTCTGAACCTCTTTCTTCCCTGCTCGAATTCAGGTCTAAGCTGTTTCTCTATGTCATCTTTTTGTTTATACTTCTTATGAAACTCTTTCTCAGCATTATCACAAATTGATCTCTGTGCTTCAAGTCTAGCCGTTAGTGCATTACTCGCAGCCTGGTTCAATCTTACCTGTTCCTTATAAATAACACTCCTTCAACAAAACAATATAATCGTTCAATCATTAAAAGTGTTCGAATTTAATTGTAACCACCTATAATGATTTGAACTTTGGTTAATGAGGCTTACTGGTGCATGGTGTCTCTAATCATCTTCTCAAGCATGGTTCTGTAAGAAGATTGAGCTTCTGCAAGCCGTCTGCATTTCTCTGCTTTCCTCTTACGTTTTATGAGCGCCAATTCGAGGTCTTGAATAACTAGCGTTTCTTCTTCGTTTTTGAGTTTCATTTCGTTCACTTCATTATCTAACTTCTGCATTTCCACCTGCATTTTTGAAGCTTCTTCTTTTTGCTTTAGAGAATCTCTAGCCATGACAATTGCTTGATAGGGGGTTCTAACAAAATTTGGATCTTCATTTTCTTTTGGCGCACTGCCCTTTGATTTTCTTGCAGCCACTGAAAAATACATAACACTAACATCAATATCCAATTCTCGGTCTTCAAAATCATCACTAGTATGATTAAATCGTATTAGGAGCAACGGCACTAACCTATCGCAGAAGACATAGGCCTTGTTTTCTTATTGTGATCAAGTTGTCGTAAAGCTAAGGCATCATAGGGATCCCTTCGCGATTCGACTATAGCAGCGGGAGCTAGTCCAACTTCTTCGCTCAAACCAATGAAGTGTTGCGGAAAAGAATGCGAATTCACTATTTGTGTATCATTCAACTCATGATTTTCTCCTTCAGAGAACAGAAATGAAAAGCCTCTATGCCTGTCATTCACAATCACAAATATCATCATCATCACATCACACTCCGACGTAACACAAATCGAGAAACAGTATAAGTATATAAAGAATCAGAAAACAATACCTAAAGTCAGATTTTGAAGAAGCAAAAATAGACAAAAACTGATTAACAGAAATCCCCAATTGGAAATCCCACCATGGCACTAAGAATTCAAGTTTATTTTTCTTCCTTCTGCAAACTTGTCTTTGAACAATCCTTAGATTGCTTAGAACAGTCAAGCCTCCCCCTACAATTGTCATCCCAAAAGAAGCAAAATCACACCAAAGCCTAATTTGTTTCTAGCTCAATTAAGATAATTTCAACCTAAAAATCACTTGCTAAAGAGTTATTCATGGAAAAGCTAAAAAAGATAGTGAGAGGAGAAGCTTAATTACTTGAACAAGGAAACCAATGATCAAAATCCCAAGCAAGAGGAGAAGCTGAATCAGCATGATAATACAAGACATTGCCATAAGCATCAACTCGAACGACCCCTGGATCAAAACCAGCATTCCTAAGATTCCAACCAAAATTAACATTAATCAACACACACATTATACAAACATAAACAACACATAAGAAAAATTGAAAATTTTCAAGAATTGTTACCCTAGATGACTGAGCTGGTTCCACAAGATACTGACAAAGATTCTAGGTTTGGTTGTCGGTTTAGCTTTTGGATCAATAATTGGAAACATCTCATCTAAAAAACTTGCTCTTTCAACCTGAGTGAAACATTAACAACAACGTTAACAAAAACCTTAACAAATGTTACAAATCCAACCCAGTTATAGAAACCAATGACCCAGAACTGTTTTCACCTCAAAGATTGAATTTTTAATATGAAAACAAAGAAAGAACAAATGGGTACCTACCTCGTCATCATGCAAAGCATAAGGGAGAAAAGTGAAGGGAGGGCCATGGCTATAAGGACTGAAACCACGATCACGACAGAGTTTTGCATAGGCTTTTGGGTATCCGAGGTTGTCATTGACGACCATTTCCTCAGAGGTGAAAGTGAAACCATAATCTTGTGCCATTGTTGTTGAAATTCAAGATTGTGTTGTTTCTTGTTTCTTGTTATGAGTAGTAATTGGGGAGAGCGTGTGTTTTGTTGAAGAAGTATCCAACGGTCGAATTGGATGTTACTATTTAAAACCGAAAAAAATGATTAATTCGAAATTGGAAAGTGATTCGATGTTTTACTAAGGTAACGGTTACATGGGATGGAGTAATAAAAGAGGTTGTTGTGGATTTTTTTTTTTGTGGGACCAAAGTGTCCTTGAATTTGAGATGTTTCAATAAGTGGGGATTAGTTGTTTCTTAGTAGTAGTATCGAAATTTTGAAATTAAAAAGTTGTGATAATGATTGGATATGGAATTAATTTGGTTTGAACAATAATAATTGGGGCCAGTACCCAAAAAGATCCTTTTATGTCAAGTTTAAGCTTTCAAAAAGAGTAATATTTTTTACCAAGAGTTGATCTTTGATTGTTATCATTGAAGGGGTATGTAGATTTGAGAAATTAACATGTAAATTAAATATGTCATCTCTTTAATTTTATTTATTTCAATTTTTTCTTTGATCATATATAAATAATTTTTGGACAAAATTTTTGGTAGAATGATGAAATTTCTGATACAGAATAAATTTCTGATACATTCCTACTAAATTTTCGTTAAATTTAAATTTTTGGTAGTACATTTGAAATTTCCGATAAATTGAAATTTTTAAATTTAGGTGGCAGTATCGAAAATTTGAGTTATACTGAAATTTGTTTATGAGTTGAAATAGATCAAGTTATTTGTGGGCTTGTTGTGACAAGTAGATGAGATTTTGGAGAAATATTTCTGCCAACTCTTATTTTAAATTTAGTACCACACATATTTTAATAATATCTAATCTTACCAGTGATTAGAAAGAATAGTGGTCGGTCCAAACGTCAGTTGATCCAAGCGTTCCATGGAGGAGGGTTGTACCTGAAAGGCATTATGATGTTGAAGTCAGAAAGAGTGTAAAGGTAAGTGAGAGAGTTAGAGATATGAATAAAATACCTGATCCTCCAATAGAGAAGGGTATTTATAGATCCTGCAACGCATGACTAATGGTATCTGTTATGGGCTGAGGATTCAGGCCCATAATGGATGATTGTCAGATTCCTGATTGAAGTAGGGATGAGCAGCATATGTTTATCGCCCTGTGTGATCGGTGGATCTGGAACTGACTGTTTTTTAGCTGGTTTCGCGAAATGTCGCGGTAAGCAAGAGTCGTCACCGTCTTTTATTTTCTCCAAATGGAAAGGACAAAAGCACAGAAAAATTCCTTAAAGAGATTGCTCTCGGTTCGGGAGGTAGATTATAGAAAGGGAAGGTGTTAGCACCCTTTCTATCCATGGTTATCCATGGGCTCTTAGATACTTGCTCAATGTGTTTTCAAAAATGGTTTGTTTGCTTTTCAAGTGTGTGTGTGGGTTTTGAAAAAGTTCGTTTTGAAAACTTCTAGGTAACTCTTGTATCAGTCCTCAAGAGTGTATGAAGTATTGTTTGAAAACTTTTTGTAAGGTGTGAAAAGTATTTTGTTTTGTTTTGAAATTTAGAGCAAGTATCCATGAGAACCTATCTACCCTAAGGAATTCGTCTGTGTAAATGTCCTTTAAAGTAGTGGCATCCCACCATTGAGAGGTAGGTAGCACTACCGTTGGAGGTGTTCGGGTCAATTCGAAGGTTCGGGACATGGTGATCACCGGAGCAATAGGAAGACACCTTAGAAGCTACCCTCATGTCAGGTTCCCGGATCATGAGGACTTACTAAGACATCCTCTACTCGACGATCACCTTTCGAGGGGCAAGGCAACAGTGAAGCGTACCCTAGGGGTGGTGT